CGGACGTAGGTAGGGAGTTCGTGGACCAAGGGGGAGAAAATGGAGTCGAGATAGGTGGAGATCAGTTCGGTGGGGCAGGAGCAGGCGGAGACAATGGGTCGACCAGGGCATTCAGGTTTGTGGATTTTGGGAAGGAGATCGAAGCGGGCAGTGCGAGGTTGGGGAACGATGAGGTTGGAGGCCAGAGATTGTGGCTGTGATACTGTTTATTATCCTGTCGGGAAAGTTGAAACAGCCTTGCAAGGACAGCAAATCAGATTTAAATAAAAAGGCTGCAGGTAAGATCCCTGACCGTAAAACCCTCTCAGTGATCGGACACAAGGGCAGTGTGGTTCATTTCGACACCAGCTGAGAAACGTCTTAACCAGCCCCCACAGCCCTCAAATTAAAAAAAAGGTCAGAAAATGATGAGACTGCACCCAAGTCAATTATTTCTTGAACAGTTGAAACGGTTTCCCGCATTCATACAAAAATGGTTACTCCGCGCACGTCTTGATGGAGCGATTGTAGCTTGGTCCGGCCATTTGCGCTGAACAGATTTCTCCATAACCTGTGAGGGTGTCAAGATAAAAACAGAAACTCAGGACCCTGGATATAAAAAGGGAGAACGAGCAGAGGAGGAAGACGGCTGGCTCCTCGGACCTGCAATCGGATCCCAGCTGATGGTGAAACCGGTCAAAGTCCCTTTGCAGAATGAAGCTTGACTTGATAGACCAACGGTTTTATGTTTGCAACGTGTTTAATCACACAGTGACCATAGTCACCGAATAGATTCGCAAGGGGCAGCCCCTCCTTACTTTGAACAAAAAAAAGCAAACATTAGTCAGACACAGAAGGACGCAAAACATTTTACACCAGAAATTCGACTGGGGTCGCCATGTAAATTCTGTAGCTACAAGGGCAGGTCAGAAGCTAGGAATACTGCACTGAGTCAGGAGGGGAGTTACTCAGTGCGCTATTCCTAGCTTCTGACCTGCTCTTGTAGCTCGAGTATTTACAAGGCTATGCCAGTCGAATTTCTGGTGTAAAATGTTTTGCGTCCTTCTGTGTCTGATTAATCTTTGCTAAGAAAAAGTACAAAGGCCGCCCCCTTGGGAATGTATGATCACTGTGATTAAACACGTTGCAAAAATAAACTTGCCCCTGGATGGGGGCAGCTCCAACAACACTCAAGAAGCTCGACACCATCCAGGGCAAAGCAGCCCC